TCCAAAGATGTCTCTTGATAGTTACTTTGTTCAAATCAAGACCCAAACAGGGCCCCTATGCTATATTTGGTTGCTAAGCTGCTAAGTATCTTAGTTTAGAGTAGCTGCCTTTCTGTTTATTTAAAATACTATTTGCTGAAAAAAACCATACAGCTGCCTTTCTGTTTATTTAAAATATAATTCAGCATGTCAATTATTCCTAGCAAAATACTATCTAGAGTAACTAATAGCTATTAAATTGCAACCAGGGCAAGGGGAAAGCTTTCCAGCTACAATGCTCCTCAGAATATTTGACCACCATGGCTCCTTTCTACATTTATGATGACTGGTACCATCTACCTACATTTATGACTACCATCTATAAACAATATGACTTCCAGTTTCTGGCACAAACTGTTCTAGTTTAATTGTTAATACTGCAATTTTCTAAGAGACTAAAACGATTGAGGCAAGATTAAACAATAACATACACAAACAACTCATCAGAAGCTTCAAAGAAAGTAAGAGTTGAAATTCTGAACGACTGTCTATATAACGTTTTTAAAATTTTTTTAAAGATTTATTTATTTATTCATACAGAACTGGGGTACAGGTCAGAGATGTGGAGGGTGATAGGATTCACCAGAGACAGAGTGGGGAGCAGAACAGGCAGATCAACGAAGTACACTGCTGAGGGGAGCAGCGGGCGGGTCAGGAGAGGTCTGCCACGCCATGTGGTCACCTCCAGGGCAGGCGGGAATCCAACTCATGCGGAAGTGGCTTTAGCTTCTCAGTGCTGTGCTTTAACCCACTGCGCCACCAGGGAGGGCCCTGTCTATATAGCTTTTAACTGCTCATTCACTGTTCAGTTCAATATGAATTCAAGTCCTTCCAAGTGCTGAGATTGCAGACAGTGCACATAATAAACGTTAGAAGTTCCATGGTGCCATGGGAACACAGAGGAAAGGTACTTAACCAATGGGATTATACTTTCTAGAGGAAATGCCACCTATTTATAAAATTCAGGGAAAACAGCTTTGTCAGAAAAGCTTAATGTCTCATTTCCAATCACAATTAGTCTGAAACACTGGCTTCAAGTTGTGCTTCC